GGCTGGACAATTTTCCCGTGCTGCAAAACACTTTTTATTTTTTTAAATTTATTTTTTGGAAACAAAAAAACCTGACTTGTCTTTTTTGAGGCAGAAAAATTCCAATAACTTTATTAACTTTTTGTAACTGTACCATAACAGTTTTGTCACAAAGCGTGTTCCTCCAATGGCAGCTACTATTTCTGCAGGAGAAAATATCCCATTTCCTTTCTGTTTCTTATTTTCTCAAATGCTTTCCATTCTTCCTTGCTTTCTCCAGGCTCCAGCACATCTTTGTGTGATGGCAAAACTGGGCTGAACCCAGCATTGCCCAATTTTTCTATAAAACTCTGCAGATCACCTCCTAAAACAGGGAGGTGCAACATTCCTCATTGCAACACCTTTTTTGTTTTCCACTCACATTTTGTCTGCAGGACATTTTCATCTCCTGAGATTCTTTCCAGCCACTTTCTGCCTCCTTCCTTCCCTACCACTCACTGCATTTCCTTCTGTTGGCTCTGGAACCATCCCTTCAATTTAACAAAATAATTCCTAATTTTCACCCTAACCTCATGAAGGTTTGCAGCCTCTTCTAGTTTGATAATCAGCTTCAGATGCCCACCTGATGCAAGAGCAAACAGATTTTGGGAGCAGCTGGTGGTGGTTTGTCCAGAGCTGGTGCTCCTGCAGAACTGATGGGTTTTCACTGGGGCAGCAACACAAACCTTCCCCAAGCCAAGATACACCCGGTCATCCTCTCAAAGCAAAAATAAAACTCCCTTGACATGATTTATTCTAATCAAATCCACATTGGTTGGTTTTTATTACATTATTTTCTGCTAGGTGCTTATAAATTGATTATTTGGTAATTTTTACCAGTGTCCTCCTGGCTACTGGAATAAAGCTGGTGGGTCTCAGATTCCTGAGGAGCCAAACTTTACCCTGCCCACACCTCAGCTACTTTTGCTTTGTTTCTTCAGGCCCTTGAATCCATCAGTCTTGATTGCTCTCATCTTTTAACCTGTTTTTGTCTTGGATCATCACTGCTCATGTTTTTTTAAGTTATTTTTACTTGCTAATCCTTTTTTTGGAAGGATGGGGAAATTAAGGTTCTGTGTTCATATTTATATAATATAAAGGTTCTGTGTTTATATAATTTTATGTTTGTTATAAATATTCTGTGGTTTCCATTATTTGGTTTTCTATTCTATCATAGAGTAGAATATTGTTCTTATAGAGAATTCACAGATTTCCTCCATCTTTCATTTTTTTCCTTATATTTTCATAAATAGCCTGGGTTAGTTTTTATCACTTGAAATCACTTTGGTGTTTCTGATTTTATGCTTAAGCATGTGGCGTAACATTTTAATTAATTTTTCTTAGTTTTTCTCTTTTTTCTTCTTTAATGATTCCTTCATTTGATTCTACTTCTTGCTTAAGTGCTTACTTGACTTGCTTTCTTCTTTTGCTGTGTGTTTTTCAAATGTTAGAGACATGGAATGGTTTGGGTTGGATGGGACCTTGAAGTTTATCTTGTTCCACCCCCCTGCCATGGCAGGGACACCTTCCACCATCCCAGGCTGCTCCAAGCCCCATCCAACCTGGCCTTGGGCACTGCCAGGGATCCAGGGGCAGCCACAGCTGCTCTGGGCACCTTCTTCTAGGGCCTCACCAACTTAACAGGGAAGAATTTCTTCCCAATATCTGATCTAACCCTGCCCTCTGGCAGTGTGGAGCCATTCCCCCTTATCCTACGGCTCCATGCCCTTGTCCAAAGTCCCTCTCCAGCTGTTTTGGAGCCCCTTTAGATACTGAAAGAGGCTCTAAATTCTCCTGAGAGAGAGAAAAACCTCAGGGGGAAAAAAACCCAAAAAACCAACAACAACAAAAACTCCCAAAAACAAACAAACAAACAAAACCCAAAAAAAAAAACAAAAAAAAAAAAAAAAAGGAGCCATTGGTGACGCATCTTAGTTGCCAAAATTCTAGTGTTAGCATTCAATAACCAAAGCTCCTGGGCTCCACTTGGGATACAGACAAAACTTCAAGACTTTTAGCACGGGCTCAGAAAACACAAACATTTTGAAGTGCAAACGGTGCCTTTGATAAAGCAGAGCTGTGTTTTCGCGGAGGAGTGAGGAGCACCAAGGGACACTGAAGGATTTCTGCCCTTCCCGCAAGGAGGGGGAATCAAGGCTTTGTTTACTGCCCTCCTGGAGCCGCAGTGTTCTCACACATGGGAGGCATCCTGCTCTCTTGTAAAACCATCAGCACCTGGAAACAAGGCCTGGGATAACTCTGTGCTGCTGATAAAGCAGCTGGGAGGAATCACCATTGATTGGGCTTGAGGAAAGGGGAGGAGGGAGAACTGACTCTGAGGGAGCTTTTGAGAAATTGTCCCCTTGGGCAAAGCCCTGATACATCACAGATAATTTGCAGGTTATTCACAGAAACTGAAATTTTGTTTGAGAAATACTCATCTTGGTTAAATGTCATTTTTTCCCCTTTGTTTTCTCCAATTGCTGTGCTGTACCTGGGCAAGCAGAGTCCAAGGCACCTCCCAGGGGAGAAATTACCATCCAGCAATTCTTGAAAATGTCTTTATAGCAGCAGCCTAGGAAATCTGAGAAAATGCAAAAAAAAAAAAGTTAAGAGCCTGAAGAAATCTCTGTTAAAGTGTGTACTTGCTTAATAGATGCTTCCCCATACCGTGTGTTCAACTGGCTTATATAAAAGCATCAACTTTAATATTTGATTTACAATTTAATATAAAGGCAACTGACTGCAAAACACAATCAGATTTACCAGCTCAGGGGAATGAACCTTTTTATGAAACTAACAATTGCACATACAAAATCAGCTGAAAATGAGTTAGTGAGATGAAACTTCCACCTTCCTGGCTGAAGCCGTGATTAAACCATGATTAAAGTCAGTGAGCTAAGTGAACAGCAATCAACTCAAGATTCAATTCACCCTTGGAAAAATAAAATAAAATAATTAAAAAAAAAAAGAGGAGGAACTATTTTTGTTATTTCAGTGATGTGCTGACCGAGTTGAGGAGGGACAAGGCTCCAGCCTAAACTGCCTGGCACTAATGACCTCCCCAGAACAGGGGATTCCCAAGCCCAGGAACAACACAATTCCCTCCTGTGTTGTAAACTGGACCTATTTGGGAAGCAGGCCAGCTCCCATGATTTTCTTTTCTCATAACATTTACTGCTGTTTTTAAGGCCATCCCTCAGAGTCATATGACAGGATAAGATTTGCAGCCTCTGGTTTTGTAGCTAAACACAAGCTGCAAAATCAGGGAGGGAAATTTCACCATGTGACCCCAGTGCTGCTTGCAGATGGCCTCAAGGGTATTGAAATGAAAGAGAAAACGAAACCTGCCCTGTGGGGAGGAGGCTGCAGAGGGGGGTGGCAGCAGGGTTACACAAAGGAGCAAAAAAATGAGATTTGAGGCTGAAGTTTGAAAACACAACCCCAGGACCATCCCCAGCCCAGCACCCTAAACTCTGCTGGGATCCTCTCCAGCCTGGTACCCCAAACCCTGCTGTGAGCTCCCAAACCCAGCCCTCATCCCTGCTGGAACCCCCCAACCTGGCACCCCAATCTTGACCACGATCCCTACCAACCCTCCCCAGTCAAGCATCTCAAACTTTGTGAGGACCTCTCCAACCAGGGCAACCCAAACCCTGCTGGGATCTGCACATCTTGACACCTGAAATGCTTCTGGGACTCCCTCAGAACTGCATCTCAAATCCCAACAGGGGGATCCCAACAGGACCCCTATCCACCCTCCCCAGCCCAGCACCCCTGTCCCACCAGGACTCCCCAAACCCAGCTCTCCAAACCTCAGCACAATTTCCAGCACCCCAATTCCCTCCAGGGCCTCACATCCTCATCTCCATCATCATCCCCCCTTCTTTCTCTGTCCTTATCTATGTCCATAACTCCTGTCCCCATCACTGTCTCTGCCTGCATCTCCATCCTGATTTCTGTCTTCATCTCCATCTCTGTCCCCATCCTCATCCCCACTGCATCCCCACCTCCCACCCCTTCCACATCCACCCCTCCATGTTAATTTCCATCCTCATCTCCATGCCTCTCTCTGTCTGCCTGTTCCCATTGCATCCCCATCTCCAACCTCTTCCACATCCCCATCTCCATCTGTCCCCATCCTTATCCCCTTCCCTATCACCACACTCATCCCCATCCCCATCCCCATCTCCAACTCCATCTCCATTCCCATTCCCATCCCTATCCCTGTCCCCATCTCCATACACATTCCCATGGTTGCCTCTGTCTCAATGTCTGTGTCCGCTGCATCCTCATCTCCAACCCCTTCCACATCCTCATCTTTGTCTCCATCTTTGTCCCTGTTCCCCAATTCAACTCCATTTCCATTCTTATCCTCATTCCCATTCATCTCCATCTCTGTCTGTCTCCATTTTTATCTCTCTGTCCCCTTTGTATCCTCATCTCCAACTTTTTCCACATCCCAGTCTCTGCCTCTGTCCCCTTCTCCATCCCTGTCCTGATCCTCATCCCTGTCCCCAACTCCATTCCCATCCCTGCCTCCATCCCCATCCCTCTGTCTCTCTGTCCCCTTTATATCCTCATCTCCAACTTCTTCTATATCTCAATCTCCATGTCTGTCCCCATCCTTGTCCCCTTCCCCATCCCTGTCCTGATCCTCATCCCTGTCCCTAACTCAGCTCCATCGCCATCCCTCTGTCTGTCTCTCTGTCCCCTTTGTAACCTCATCTCCAACTTCTCACACATCCTCTCCTCCGTCCCCATCCATGTCCCTTTTCCCTGTTCCTCTCCCCATCTCCATCCGTGTCCCTTTTCCCCATCCCCATCCCCATCCATGTCCCTTTTCCCTGTTCCTCTCCCCATCTCCATCCGTGTCCCTTTTCCCTGTCCCCATCCCCATCCCCTCCTCGGTCCCTCCCTCCCGCCCCGCCCCGGGCGCTGCTGCGGGCGGGGCGGGCCGTGGGGCGGGAGCGGCGGTTCGGGGCCGCCTTTGTGCGGCTCGGGGCTGTCCCGTCCCCATTCCCGTCCCCGTTCCCGCTCCGTCCCGGGCTCTCCCGCACCTCTCCGCACTTTCCCGTCCCTCGGCATCCCCATGGCCGCCCCCCGGCCGGCGCACGGCTGCGGCAGCGGAGCGCTGCTGGGGCGCTTCGGGGTGCTGCTGCAGGCGCTGCTGGCTCTCTGCGCCTTCAGCACCCTCATGCGTGAGTACCGGGGGCACCGAGGGGACCGGGGACACCTCGGTGGGATGGGGTGGGTGCCCGTTCTCTTAAAAAGCACCAAGTTTGGGTTGGGGAGGAAGGGACGCGCTGGGGATGTTCCCGATGAGCAGCAGCAGCAGCGCCAGATGCTCCTTCTTCCAAACTCCCTAATCTGATGGTAATGAAGCTCCGCGGAAAGCGAGGCTGTAATCTCTTAAAATTGGCCGCGCTTGTGCGAGGCATTGCTCAGTCACTTAGAAAATTTTAATGAGGGGGTAAAAAAAGGTTTTGGTTTGACCCCTGCGAGTGGCCGGGGAGGAGCTGATAGAAACGGGGCGGGTGTCCGACACGGCGTTGCGTGCTGAGCGTGATTTCATTGCGCTGTGATATTGTTTTTGTTGAATTTTCTCTCAGGTTTTAGGGCTTGAGCGGCTGGGGAAGGAGTTACAGAGAGAGAACGTGTTTTTCTGGTTACTGAGAAGGGCTGGCAGTGAGAGAAATCAGCTGAGGAGTGAGAAAAATCACCCGGAGTGTGATTTCCAGAACTTAAAAACGGCCTCAAGTTACGCTGTAGAAAGTTCAGAGTGAATATTTGGGAAAGCTTTTTCCCCGGAAGGGGAAGGCATTGGAACAGGCTGGAGCCTCTGTCCCGGGAGGGATTTAAAATACGTGTGGATGTGGTTTAGTGGAGCACTTGGCAGTGCTGGGTTTATGATTGCACTTGATGATATTAGAATTAGATATTAGAATATAGAAAGGGGACAGAGAGACAGAGGGATGAAGATGGAGGCAGGGATGGGAATGGAGCTGGGGACAGAGGCGGAGATTGGGATGTGGAAGAAGTCGGAGATGAGGTTACAAAGGGGACAGAGACTGAGATGGAGACGGACAGAGATGGGAATGGGGACGAGAGGGTGAATACTTGGAAAAGCTTTTTCCCCGGAAGGGGAAGGCATTGGAACAGGCTGAATATTTCTCTGGAGACTCGTCCCGGGAGGGATTTAAAATACGTATGGATGTGGTTTGGTGGAGCACTTGGCAGTGCTGGGTTAATGATTGCACTTGATGATATTAGAATTCTTTTCCAACCTCGGTGATCCTGGGAAAAGGTGCGGACGCTGAGGCTGAAGGAGCCGTGAAAATTCGCTGTTGTTCTGTGCCGCAGCTTTGTTTTGCTCAGAGCGATGTGTGTGTTGTTGCTGCTTTCAGGGTTAAGTGGTTTAGCACAAGTTGAATCAACATGCCAGAACTCGATCTGTTTTCCTTGTTTAAAAGCCTGTGGTGACAGTGAACCGAAACTTCCAAGCTTTCTGGCTAAGTAGCTGCAGATTTTGAGGTTCTCTTGCCCCCTCTGCCTTTTGGAAATCGCTTTCAAAGGCTCCAGCGCTGCGGTTAACGCCGAGCTGCCAGAGAAAATTGCAACAAGTTCTTCCAGGGATAGCTGATACCTTCTCCAGCTGGAGCAGTCCAGTTGCAACATGCCGCTGCTTGTGTTCCACCAAATATTTTCAGTAAGAATAGTGGTAATTTCTTTTTCTGTTCCTGTTCCCCCTAGTGATGTGTGCATGTGAGTTAATTCTCCCATAAACGCCATGGGGTGTCCCATAAAATCAGGGACTTGAGTAAATCATGTTGGAATACCTCTGTGGATGAGGCTGCAAAACCCCTGCCAGAAAATCATCAACTCTGCGCTAACTGCTGGTGCAGGGGCTGATATTTCTGTGAACATTAACAGCCTCTTGGTTAATGAAGAGAAACTGAAAGCTGATCCTGTGTGGTTTTGCTGTGACTCAGCTGAGGGGGAACTGCAGCCTGGCACCCCGAGGGCAGATGTGTTTGCAGCCCTGGGATCCCACCACGGCACCTTCTGTGGCTGCAGCTGTGCTGGTGGTCCCTGACCCACCCCAACTGGTCCTTTCCTGTGCCCCAGGCACTCATTTCCAGCTGGATCTGCTGGAGGGGCTGTTTGTGTGCTGACTCCTACCCCAGGGTGGTTGTGGGCTCACCAACAGTTTTGTGTTGGGCATCAACCTTCAGCTTTTGGGTTGTTTCTGTGGCACATCCAGCTGGGAAGGAGAAGGATCCAATGCCTGGGAGGTGTGGAAGCCTCTGGAGCTGAGACAAAAAAACTTCCTGGGAAGTTTGGTTGCACCTTCATTTCACCCAGCCAGGCAGTCCCAGCTGGGTGACTCATGTAGAGCTTAGGATGACTAAATGACATCAGGTAGATCCCAGTTTAGGATGAGTCATGACATCATGTAGGATTTAGGGTGTTGCTGTTGTTGGAGTCAGCCCTTTGATACTTCTTTGCTTCAATGCTTTCTTCTTTCCTTCAGTATTCCTGTTGGTTTTATTACTGTGATTTCTTCTTTGCCAGGATGTTGCAGGCCATGGGTTAATAAGTGGAAACAACATCCATGAGGGTGGTGAGGCCCTGGCACAGGGTGCCCAGAGAAGCTGTGGCTGCCCCTGGATCCCTGGAAGTGTCCAAGGCCAGGTTGGATGGGGCTTGAAGCACCCTCAGATAATGGAAGGTGTCCCTGCCCATGGCAGGGGTTGGAACTGGGTGATCTTTAAGGTCCCTTCTGACCAAAACCATGTTACAGAATTCCTGTCCAAACCCAAACCAATGCCTTTTCTACTTTAAAGTACCAGCTCAGCTATAGGAACACCTGGATTTGGATGGAAAAAAATTCGAAATTGGTCAGAAACTGTCCAGAGCTCTTAAAAACATGCAGAGGAACTCAGACTAACAATAATGTGGCATTTTGCAGGTGTGTGTGCATGGATGTTCTCAGAGTATCCCTCCAGAATGTGAGGCCCTAGCATGGCTGTTGCAGGGAGGATAAATTTGTTTTTATCACAGCAATTTGTGTCCTTGAATTTGTGTTTTTTTGGGGCTGTGGAAAGAATCTCTCCTGCCAACCCAGTAGGAAAACCTAATGGAGGAGGAAATTAGTTTTGAATGATTGAGTGGGGTGGTTGCTCCCCATTGCTGTGGATTTTGTGAAATGTGTGGTGAACACAGGACCCAGAAGTAAATGATGCCCAGCCTTGTCAGGGAGTCAGGACAGCTGTTTAGTGGGGTTTTATTATTCTGTCAACTCCCATGAGCAATAGTGCTAACAGTTCATTTTAGCCTACAAACACTCCTTGCTTTTCCAGCAAGGTCTTCAAGACTGTATTCAAGCCTAATCCCAGTATGACCAGAGCTTGCTCTGTTTGCAGCTTTGCCCCATTTGAGAGCCAAATGCCAAAGAGGTGTCACCCTTTCCACCTGCCTGGGTGGCTGTGGAGGCTCTTTGGCTGTAAGGACAGTCCTGGAACTGATCACAAACACTTGAAGGCAGAGGAGCCCAGCAGCTGTGTGTGTGTGGCAATCTGGATTCCTGTGCAAGACCCTCCCCTGGGGAGGTCATGGCCGTGAGGAGTGGGGATAATTGTGCAATCCCATCTGAAGCAGTTTGCAATGCTTTTCCTTGAGCATCACTCAGCTGGGTGGGGAAAGCTCCTTGCAGTTATCTCAGCTGCAAGGGCTGGGTGAGCCCCTGCAGTTGCTGCTATTCATTCTATTTTTTTTTTCTTTTTATGTTTTTGAGGAAGGGGTTGTTACAAATGATCAAATCGTGAGCCAGAATTATCAAAAATTTAGCAAAGATTTATTAATTTGTCTGCGAGACCAAAGTTCGGTTGTCAAAACCACCACAGCCAAAGAGTTCAGCGTCGAGCCCGGGATCGGCGCTGGGTGAACACACGGATTTCACCTCAAGAGTGTCAGAGTCTCCCCAGTTCACACTCGAGGTTTTATACAGTTTATTCTGCCCGAGGCAAAGATGACCAAATGTTCTTTGTGTCTCTTCATGTGCATCGCTGTTGCTTTCCATGTGCAGAGCTGGACATAGGTCCAGTCCAGGTGTGCCCTTGGTGTCAATCAACTCTGGAGAAGTCATGCATTCAGATGTATCAGGATGGTTATCTCGACAGATGCAATCAGCAAGGCGATAATTGCTCTTGGGTGGCTCCTGACAACTCGAGAAACCAGTGATCATCACCCTGGAAGCTTCTATTCTTACGTTAAGGGGTCGGTTAAGGGGTCAATCAAAAGTTATCTTAACTTGTGTCTGGGAATTAGTTGAATCTGAATAGGACAGCTGCTGCCGGCCAAGGTGGTCAAAAGACATGGTTTGGATTTCACAATATTTTATACCCTACATTAATAGCATGAATTATCCCTACCATATATTACAGGGTTCTAGACCAGCAAAAGTTGTCCAGGTTTGCACAGGGGACAACAAAACTCTTTGAAATGAGGGAAGATTTTTTGTACAAATTACATCCATAGCCTTCTTTGTGAATTAACTAGAGTGCAGCAGAAACAGATTTGGGGAGTTGAAGAATTTTTGTCTCCATTGTGAATGGAAAAACTTTTCCCTGGAGCTGGTATCCTCATTTTCTACTCTACCACAAACAGCATTGAGGAAACGCATGAACCTTTGTTTTTCTTCCAGCTTTTTCTGAAACTGTCTTGGCAGTACTCTGAGCTGCTGGATGAGGCGTAGCAGCACTTGTGATGTTGGTATGAAAATAGATGTTGCTCTTGGAGAACACTCCTACTGCCAGGCAAGGAGAGCTGGACTGGACTGAGCTCCCACAACCCCGTGAGAAATCTGGTTTTCAGCTCTACTTTTGAAAATGTCCTGATCCTGCCTCGTGTGACAGCAGTGCCCCTCTCTCCTGTTTCATGTCACTGCTGGACATGTTCTTCCAGCACATCTTGCCTTGAGCTCAGTCTTAAGAAGGCTCAGTTTGCAGTAGGGACCCTGGTGCTGACCCCCAGGCAGGAATTGGTGCTGGAGATGCTCTGTGAGCACCTGGGATGGTGCTCTAGACACCAGTCCAAGTAGCTTGTCCTGAGGCAGAACCACAAAATAGGAATTTATCAGAAAAAGAAACAGTGTCTCTCTGATGGAAAACAGTTGTCAGAGAACATCAGAAGTATCCCC